TGTAGGCTGCAGGAAACAACTTGAAAAGCCCACAAATTGTGGGACCAAGTGCCCTCCTACCCACTGCCCATCAAAGGGGCGACCCACGAAAGGGCTATCACGAACCCTTCGAGCTGGTTTTCTGAAAGGAACAAGCATGGCACCAACCATATGAAAAAGGACTGGTGAAAAAAACCACATGGGCCAGCCAAAAGACAAAAACTACATCACCACATACTCTGGAGACATGCTGAGGCAGTGTACTAAAACTATTACAAATAATACAAGGGAGGATAGAATTGTAGACCAACACAGCTCAATCTTGAGGCTGTGAAGGCTGACCTTGGTGTGCTTGGCAAGGCCATGCAAGCCACAGTGGGCCCTTCCAACTGAAAGTCACTCCCAACCAGAGGGAAGACAGAATACCAAAGTCCTCCAACTTACCTGGACGAGGGCCACCACAAGCGAGGAAGCTCTCTAAGAGAGCAATCCAAAAGACTCGAGGAAAGATAGCCCTGGCAGTGCAAGGGTATCACTAGGGAACACACAGGAAAGATAGCCCTGTGTACATGCAGTGCCAAGTGCCCTCAACTCCTAGCTCATGCTGCACAGGAACAGCCATAAAGGCACAACACCATGTATCTGAGAACCGGACACCAGAACCAGAGTGACAGAGAGGCACCTAGGCACTACTACCATTAAATAGAACTAAAGCTGGAGCAGGCAGCTGCCTGCCTCCTCCTCCACCCCCAAACAAGGGGAAGAGGTCGGGCGAACGAGCTTGTGCTAGTTTCATGAATCTTTGATCATTTGTTTACATTGTTGGGGGGAGATCTTTTGGCAATTTTGAGGTTATGGTATCATATATGCCACTGTTTCCTGCACCTCTCTAGAGGGAGGCCAGGTTCTGGCTTGTGGTCCCCAGTAGGCTTAAAATAACTCCACCTCGTGAATCAATAATTTACCTTGAGGTGCTTCCGGGGCTTAGCGTCCCCACGGCCCGGTCGTCGACCAGGCCTCCTGGTTGGCGGACTGATCAACCAGGCTGTTGGACGCGGCTGCTTGCAGCCTGACGTATGAGTCACAGCCTGGTTGATCAGGTATCCTTTGGAGGTGCTTATCCAGTTCTCTCTTGAACACTGTGAGGGGTCGGCCAGTTATGCCCCTTATGTGTGGTGGAAGCGTGTTGAACATTCTCGGGCCTTTGATGTTGATAGAGTTCTCTCACAGAGTACCTGATGCACCTCTGTTTTTCAACGGGGGTATTCTGCACATTCTGCCATGTCTTCTGGTCTCATGTGATGTTATTTCTGTGTGCAGGTTTGGGACCAGCCCCTCTAATATTTCCCACGTGTAAATTATCATGTACCTCTCCCGCCTGCGCTCAAGGGAGTACAGTTTTAGGCTCTTTAGTCGATCCCAATAGTTTAGATGTTTTACTGAGTGGATTCTAGCAGTGAAGGATCTCTGCACGCTCTCCAGGTCAGCAATTTCTCCAGCTTTGAAAGGTGCTGTCATTGTGCAGCAGTACTCTACTCTAGAGAGCACAAGCGTTTTGAAAAGTATCATCATCGGTATAGCATCTCTAGTGTGAAAAGTTCTTGTTATCCAACCTGTCATTTTTCTTGCAGTTGTGACGGCTACTTTATTGTGTTCTTTAAAGGTAAGGTCTTCCGACATGAGTACACGCAGACCCTTTACATTGCCTTTTCGTTCTATGTTATGATTTGCCTGAGTTTTGTATGTGGTTTCCGTTTTTATATTTTCATTTTTTCCATAGCGCATGAGCTGGAACTTATCTTCGTTAAACACCATATTATTTTCTGTAGCCCATAGAAAGACCTGATCTACATCTAACTGGAGGTTCGCTGTGTCCTCTATGTTGCCTACTCTCATGAAGATCCTAGTGTCATCTGCAAAGGATGATACAGTGCTATAGGTTGTGTTCTTGTCTATGTCCGAAATGAGGATGAGAAAAAGTACTGGAGCAAGCACAGTACCCTGGGGGACTGAGCTCTTCATGGTTGATGGGCTGGATTTTATTTTGTTGACTATTACACATAGGGTTCTGTTGGTCAGGAAATTGTAGATCCATCTGCCTATTTTTCTGGTAATTCCTTTTGAACGCATTTTATGTGCAATAACACCATGGTCACATTTATCAAAAGCTTTTGCGAAATCTGTGTATATTACATCCGCGTTTTGTTTGTCTTCCATAGCATCTAATGCCATATCATAGTGGTCCAGCAACTGCGACAGGCAAGAGCGCCCTGTTCTGAAACCATGATGTCCGGGGTTATGGAGTTGCTGTGATTCCATGTATTTTGTGATTTTACTTCTTAGCACTCTCTCAAAAATTTTTATGATGTGCGATATTAGTGCTATCGGTCTGTAATTTTTTGCCTCTGCCTTATTTCCGGAACAAAATAAAAATTTCAACAAAAGAACAAATTTCCACGACTGATGGCACCTAATAGTTTGGCACTATTTCAGCATAGTAGCTTCAGGGACCCACAACAGGATTTCCTCAGAAAATTAAAATACACATTTTGTTCATTTATGTTCACTGGACAAATTTATTTTGAAGTGCAGAGCTTAATACTTTTCAATACACAAAGACAATAAAATCAAAATATACAAAATTAATGCCACAAAAATTTTCAAAATGTCTCAAAAATTAATAAATTTATTTCATTAACCCCTTAACTGCGTTGCCTCCAAATGTGACACCCCCGCAGTGCGCAGGAAATAAATTCTCTGGAAAAAATTATTTTTTCTTTTTGAAGTGTCAAAAACCCTTCCCTCAGTATGGGTATGCAAAAAAAAAGTCGAAATTGTACTTACTTTGGCTGCTATGGGGTCCGGAAGTTGGGGCGTGACGTCATCATTCCCCGTGCGCCCGTGCCGTAAGCTCTCGGGGGCGGTGGGGCGCTCGGGGCGGGGCGCGCGAGTTGCCGCGAATATATTTTCGTTCATTTTTTGCGCACCTTTCCAAATACATTTTCATTGTTTTTATGTGCCAATCCAATGTATAATGAACACGTACACTATAATATCGCAGTACAACATCCGTACTGTCCGTAGACACTGTGTTACGTGCATGAAACTTGTGTACACATATGCAGCACATATTTACTATGTATCATGCTAATTTGTGTATATATACAATCTATTTACACACTATACACTGTCACACACTATATACATTCACCATCAACACATTCAGAACACCGCGTAGCAGCTGCTTCGTATGGGCCAATAACAGCTGCCTCGTATGGGCCAATAACAGCTGCCTCGTATGGGCCAATATCAGCTGCCTCGTATGGGCCAATAGCAGCTGCTTCGTATGGGCCAATAGCAGCTGCCTCGTATGGGCCAATATCAGCTGCCTCGTATGGGCCAATAGCAGCTGCCCCGCATGGGCCAATAGCAGCTGCCCCGCATGGGCCAATAGCAGCTGCCCCGCATGGGCCAATAGCAGCTGCCCCGCATGGGCCAATAGCAGCTGCCCCGCATGGGCCAATAGCAGCTGCCCCGCATGGGCCAATAGCAGCTGCCCCGCATGGGCCAATAGCAGCTGCCCCGCATGGGCCAATAGCAGCTGCCCCGCATGGGCCAATAGCAGCTGCCCCGCATGGGCCAATAGCAGCTGCCCCGCATGGGCCAATAGCAGCTGCCCCGCATGGGCCAATAGCAGCTGCCTCGTATAGGCAATAGCAGCTGCCTCGTATGGGCCAATAGCAGCTGCCGCGTATGGGATAATAGCAGCTGCCTCGTATGGGCCAATAGCAGCTGCCTCGTATGGGCCAATAGCAGCTGCCTCGTATGGGCCAATAGCAGCTGCCGCGTATGGGCCAATAGCAGCTGCCGCGTATGGGCCAATAGCAGCTGCCGCGTATGGGCCAATAGCAGCTGCCGCGTATGGGCCAATAGCAGCTGCCTCGTATGGGCCAATAGCAGCTGCCTCGTATGGGCCAATAGCAGCTGCCTCGTATGTGCCAATAGCAGCTGCCTCGTATGGGCCATGAACACATTCAGAACACCTTGAGTGAGAGCAGCCACACCCAGCCAGTCTCCCTCACTCCAACATCTTACTCGCCAACATTGCTCCTCCCACCATATTGCTATAGTTCTTATTACACATGTTCTATATACCTATCTACATGTTTTATTTACCAGAACTATGCAAGTAAGCCGGTATTGTGTCCAAACAGTACAGTGGCCACCATACACTGCATGAAAAATCACACAGCAGACGACGCTACGATTACGTCACCTCCCTCACCAAAATAGCTCCTCTCAACATTCTCCTGTTGCTGTTCTTACACTATATACACACACTATATATACCCATGTACATATGTGTTGCCCATAGTGAACCACTAAGCTAGTATGGTGAGCAAAACAAGAGTGGCAGCCACACACACACAATTGAGGCTACCTCAATTCTCGCCCTCCCTCCCTCATCAAAATTCCTCCTTCCACAATACTACGCACAACGCTAATTATAACCACATTCCTGCTATTATCACAATCCTGGTCACTAATTCCTGTAAATGAATAATTGACCACACGTTTATTTTGAAAAAGAACCTAAGAAATCATTTGAAGATTCCTAGATGAACGAAATAATGCTCTGGTGCTGTGGCTAGCGCTGTGAACATCGTGAACAGCATTGAATCACTGATATTTGAACATTGTACCCAGTCATTATCACACTCAGGCTCTAATATAACACTAAATAATACAATTTATATATATATTTTGACATTATTAGGCGATGCTGTGGTCACATGCTGAACAGCAGTGCTGTGCGCTCATGCTGCGAGCGCCAGCCTTGGTTGCTCACACACTACTGAGGCTCCCACACCCGGGAATGTGGACCACGATTTTTTTTAAAGATGGCGTCTGTTTACAAGAGCCCTGAGGAAGCTGATGTGAACCCCATGTAGCCGCGGGAGTTTTGAATGGAACGTGAAAAATACAAATACCTGGAGGCGCGTTGCGCAAACCAGACGTGAGCCTGCAGGCGCGTTGCGCAGTTTAAGGGTTAAGCTAAATCTGGAAAAAGTGAAAGTTTGTACAAAAATGTTTTAATAAAATTTGAGTGAACTTCTGTAAAAATTTTTTTTACAAACCTTTAAAAGGTTTCCCCTATCTTCTCACTATTACAGTATATTACAGAACATATTATTACATGCAGTAATTTTATACTTTTGTTTTCTAAATTTGCAACAAAAAATAAATTATTATGTTAATTTCCTATGGTTTCTCCTCCTGGCCTTACGTTTCTTTCTTTGTCTAAACTTTTTGATCTTATCAGTACAAGCACTAAGCTTGACTCGTTTGTGACTCCTATGACCTTGAATACTGGCAGACTTGTTTGTTGGTTCCATAAGCTGTCTACCTGCCAACAGGGAAGGTTTAGCAGTGAAAAGTAATGGCATGTGTACATCATATGCAAATGAACACCCACATTTGTTACTGGAAATATTATGTTTTCTGTCATTGGCAGTTGGATCTTGTGATGCGGGGCAATGATGAAGCTTGCTGGTGCTGCTCATACCATGCCTTTGTGCTTCTCTTGTAAAGGCTTTGTTGCAATTCTTTGCTGGCGTCTTACCTGCAGAGTCGTTAGAAATGAGATTGGTTTTCACACTTGGGCTCCCACTTACTAATCGTCTACAAACCATGGGCAATGGTGACACTTCATCCACTGCATCTACACAACTACACTTTTTGCTTTTTTTGGGCGAATTAAATGAAAAATAGTTTGCTAATATTTCAATGTCTCCTGAGGAAGAATTGCAAGGATCATTCTGTGTCTTGAAAATTTCATGAGTTTCCAATCCTATTGTGGATGTTCTTGGTGACAAGTGCTCATTGATACCAACTGCCTTTAATTTCCTTGAAAAACTTCTGGTCCAGTTTGTATCTTTAGAGTTTGTGTGATCATTTTCCTTCAGATCAATGTCATTTATATTAATATTTTCACTTGTATTCTCAGGTCCTGCCTCATCATCTCTGCTGGCACTGTGTTCATCTCGTGAGAGTAAAGCAGTTTTCAAAACTCTAAACGCTTCCTTTTTGCCTTGTTTCTCACTGAACATATCTGGAGACAAATTTATGTTTTTTTCAGATTCTTGATTAACAAAATTAGGTCTATTTGCCTTTATATTTCCACACTGACTTAACAATGGATCAGGAGAGACAAAACCTTCTACCCAGTCATTGTCATTCATATTATTTACATCTACAATCTTTAAGCTGTTGTATAAATCTCTTGAGGGAGAGCACCGTTGTGCATTATTGAAGGTCTCACTATTATAACTTGAAGAGAGTGAACAGGCCTCCTTTTCTGCAAGGCTCATTCCTATACCTGTTGTGGTGACACTATTATCTGCACAAGGTAGGAGTTGACACATTGTCTGTGGAGCCACACCAGCTATGTTAGCAAGTCTGTTTGCTCTGCTACACTTCTTATTCTGCTTCTGCTCATCACATTCTGAATGTTGTCCAGGAACACCAGCTGAACACTTTCCAATGGGTAGTGTAAAGAAATCCTCTTCTATGGTTCCATCTTCTTTCTCTATTATTATATGAAGGTCACTGGAAGACCAATTACTGCCATTTCCTGGCCTCCAACTCTCTAAATTGACAAATATTTTCTCTCCAAGACCTGGAATTTTCCTACTTATCCATTTGTCTTTATCATGAAAGTGAGACTGAGTACAAATATTTAAGTAGCCATGGGTTTGGGTGGCAACATCTTTGTGTGTATTGCCATCAGGGCCTCCTTTACATAAACTATCTTTTTGTTTGTTGAAGGAGCAGGAATCATTTGAAATGTATGTTGAGTGTTTTACACAGTTGTTATTTAATTGTTCAGTTTGACACACATCAAAAGGCTTTCCTGTTGAAAGTGTGCAAAAGTCTACAATTTTTATAATATTTGAAATCTCTGTATAAGCACTCATTAAATTAGTAGAAATGACATTTGTATTCTTATTTATTCTGAATGCATTATCCTGTTCAATAATGATATCCACTGCTCTTTTAGTAATCTGGCATATTATGTTTAATTCTTCTTTATGTATGCCATCAAAATGAAATGCAGTGTTATCTGCTTTCTCAATTTGTTCCTTCAAAAGTTTCATATTAAAAAGATACACATCTTTATCCATGTTACAATTTTTCAGACCACTAAAATAAGAAAACATGCCAGCAAAATTAAAGCCCAATGTATTTTTAATAATACCTTGAACAAAAAATCTCTGTTTTCCATCTTTATCTGGTGAGAGCAATCTTAAGAGAGCAATGTTATCCGTTAAATCCTCACTCACCACCTTGAGAACAAATGTACTCCATGCACTGCGCACTGATGTACACTTGTCGTTCTCCAGTTGCCTCTCAACCATAACTCCATGCTCCTGCTTAGAAATGTTGACACAATTTGAGTTGTTCTGTACTTGAAATTCAAGATTTATCATAGTGTTATTATCTCGCATATCACTATGCTCTCCATTTTCTGGGAAGATGTCATAATATAAAGCTATATCATCAAAAATTATAATGTTTTCATCAAGTAAAATGATGATATCATTTTCTATTATACAACTTTTATCTTTATTGGTAATGCTATCATCAAGTCTAAAGGAAAATCCTGAATCCTCTGAACCATCAGTGTTCAGTGGAGGTTGTTGTGCTTCAGTTTCCATAGCTACTGATTTTTCAGTTTTGTCATTTAGAAAATTGCCCTTCCTTTTGCATGCCACCTTTTTATTGGTCATACCATCCAAGATCTCTGTACTGGTCACATGTTATGACCTCTATACTCTTTCACGATGTTTTCTCTCACACTGCATTGTACGTGTATTCTTCCAGTTTCTTGCATCATGTTTGCTCTCACCTTGTGTCGTAGAGGTGTGCCTCTGGTCTCCCGCACAATGTTTGTTGTTCTTAAGGTGTGTTGCACAGGTTCATATCCGGCCTTCTGTATAACGTTTGCTCTCACCTTGTCATAGAGGTGTGCCTCTGGTCTCCCGCGCAATGTTTGTTGTTCTTAAGGTGTGTTGCACAGGTTCATATCCGGCCTTCTGTATAACGTTTGCTCTCACCTTGTCGTAGAGGTGTACCTCTGGTCTCCTGCACAATGTTTGTTCTTAAGGTGTGTTGCACAGGTTCATATCCGGCCTTCTGTAAGACATTTGCTCTCACCTTGTGTCGCAGAGGTGTGCCTCCAGTTACTTCTGGATTTACAGTACGCGTGCCATTTGCAATCTCTCGGAAACTTGACCCTTCAATGATATGGACAGGCTTAATAGCCTTCACATTATATTATTGTTGTTTATATTAAGAATGCTCTTACACTTCAGCTTCTCCACAACTGCTAGTTATTACTTTAATGTTTTTTCACATTTCTCCCAAATACAAAAGGTTGAGCAATGTTCACTTTTCTTTTACAATAATTTTTTTTATATTATTTTCTTAATATTATGAATTTGTATTATTTTTTCATTTTTCTTATTCCAATCACTTATCTTTCCTTTCTTTTCATTTCTAATAAATGTTTCACAGTTATATAGGAAAGAATCTTGGACTGGATTTTTCCAATCTGAAAAAGAGAGAAAAATGAGTATAATTAAATCAGCTTTTCTGGGCACCACTTCAGCAGCAGAAATCCTCTGCAAATCAACGGTTCAAAACTGTAGAATGACCTCTCTAATGAGATAAAAATTGTACTTCTCCTGAACAGTTTAAAAGAGAAGCTAAAAACTACCTTATTAACTTGCTGTAACCAACTTTCCTCACCTCTTCCCATTCTCATGTCAACCTTAGCTCTGCTGTTATTGTGAACTTCAAGTCTTAATTACTACATACATACTGTACTTTTATAAACACTTGTTTTTAAATTTCATAAAAAAAAATCAAAGTTGAATGTAATGAAACGCCATTTTCTGGGTAAGTCCCGGAGGCTCCCCGGAGCTATCCAGGCTGAATGGATATGTATAACTTTCTGGCATCAGTCAATGCATGGAGTTCTTGCCTACCGAGGACCACAAGCCAGAACTTGGCCACCTCTAGAGAGGCACAAGGAGCAATGGCCTATAGAGACCCCCCTTATTGTTGGGAGCATTCTATGTCTGCCATCGACTGGGACAGGCACCCAGAAAGGTAGGCACCCCAAAACAAACCCCTATTCTGGTAAAACTATTGCGACCGAAGACCGAACAAGTGGACAGAACTCCTCAAATGAAAATTAGCAAATGAGCATGACGTCATCACGTCGCCACGCCACTGTCTGCGCAACCCCCACCCCCATGGGGAGCCCCAGACCCATCCACCTGCGACCCAACCTACAGTTCTTAGCTGGATGTCAAAAAGCGCAAAAAACATCGCCGACCGGAGGGAGGGAGGGATGCCGGGGAGCCTCTGGGACTCACCCAGAAAATGGCGTTTTATTACATTCAACGCTGGTTTTCTGGGGGGAGCCCCATCAGCTCCCCGGAGTTAACTTCCCGAAGATAAGGAAAAACATTGACTTACCCGGGAGGCGGTTCGTCCACACTCCTCAACACGAAGTCAAGACAACGACCGCCGACCCAAGGCAACGCAGACCCTACCTGGCCCCGTAATAACCACCAGGTAGCGAGCAGCCAGGATCCTGTTTGACCTCCAAAAACCCCTCGCCCGAATGACAACCCAAGACATGTTGCCAAAGACAGCAGCCAAAACAGCAAACTTACGCACGTCGTGGGCACAGGGATAAACCGCAGGCAGGCTAGACTTAATAACCCTGCGGACAACCTGAGAGACCCGGGAACAGGGAAGAAGGGAAACCAGGTCAACCCAAAGCGCATCCCCGCCCATAAAAGACGTGGCGCGCAAATAACGGCGCAGAGGCGTAACCGAACGCAACACATGATGCACCCCCGGCCTGACCAACCAAGCAACAACAACCCATGGCCCCCTCCAAAATGCAGCCGTTTCATTCTTCACCAGAAAAAGGAGGAGACGGCTGCAACCGAACAAAACGACCCCCAGAACCGAAGGAGCAGAAACCCCCTACGCCGGAGGAGAGCACGACACTCCCCGACCCGACCTCCAGAGGCCAACAGGAAAAGAGCTTTAGAAAAACAATCCCAAACGGAAGGGGCCACAACATACCGAGGGAAAGAGAGAAACGAGAGCCACCGGTCCAAAGACCAGGACAGCTTAGGAGGCGCATCAGCAGGCCAAAGGTGCAGAACAGGGCAGAAGGAACATCAACACCAAATTCAAACTGGGCCGGCTCCGCCAGCGCCACCCAAGACGAGGCAACAGTACACGGCACTAGACGACGGTCCCGAAACAACCCCAAAGGGAAAGACAAGACAACCCTATCAGAGACCGAAGAACCCTTTGCAGAAATAGGAAAACTAGAAGGACCGCCAGGAAACCACACACTATCGCCGAGACGAAGCACGCAGGCAGGAGACCAACAACGACGCCACCAGCGCCTCTACAAGCGCCGAGAACATGAGACAAAAACCCCAGACGCGAAGACTCGTGAGGAAGAACGAACTAGCCTTGTAAGGGCTGGACCGATCAGCAAAAACAGGCAGAGTCACGCGAAGCCCCGCAGGATCGGAACCGAGGAAAGCAGAGCCCCCAAAACAAGGCCGGCAAAACCAGAAGGAACGGCCGCCATGGAACCAGGAACCCAATCCCGGCGAGCCACAAAGGAACCAACCCAGACGAGCAGAAATGCCCTGGCCGGGAGGAAACCCCCCCCCTCCAGGACCCTGGAAAGACGAACAAGACCAAACATTGAAGAGCCAGGGCCCAGGCAGAGGCCAAGAAGGAAACCGAGCACCACGAACTAAAGTGCGAGATGTGAAGCAAAAAGCAGTGACCCCGCAACCCTAATGAGCAGCGCAACCAGGTCAAGCAGGGAAGAACGAGGCACGCATCACTGAGGTATACAGGAGGAGAACTACTCAGGACGAGTACCGCAAGAAAACAAAAACACACGTTCTGGAAAGAGAACAAAGAAAAGCCGTAGCCAGGACCGGAATCCAAGCTACCCCTGTCCCAAGAAATGGAACCAGGAGAGCAGGAGCGGTTGACCGAAAGTCCACTACCTCCAGCAGACATTGCAACAAGGGAGAACAAGGAAAAAGTGAACGCAATACCAAAATTGAACACTAGGGACAGTCCAAAATCAGGGAACTGAACACAGACAGAGGTCCACCCCTGCACAGAACAGTACAGCCAATAAGCACCGACCAAGATACACAGCCTTGTGTAGCATAGAGGGGAAGAAAAACAGAAATAGGCAAGAAAAAGACTGGAATATGGACCAAATAGCAGCTGGTAACGCAATGTGCACAACCAACCACAACATGTGGTGCGGGTGGTCGCACATACACAGAGGGACACCATGGATATCAGGGTGTGCCCAGGCACCGAAGATAGGCAAGGAAGGAGTGTCCAGACCGAGAAAGGACCCAGGCACCGAAAAACGAAACAAAAAGCACCGAAATGCGGAGCAGTGCCCCCAGTACAAGAACAAGTAAGTAAGTAATTATCAAAAGAAGGCACCAAACCGGGAAGGCTATGTAGCACCATCAAATACGCAAAATAATCAGAGGGCGCTAAATATCACCAAGGATGCCAATACGAGAACAAAAACGCATAAGGCGAACGATATCAAAAGTATCCGAGTCACCAAGAATTCTATCGAGGGACAGGTGACCGCGAGGGGCGGTCGGAAAGCAAGACACACGCTCGTCCTGGAAGTCAGGACATTCAAGAAGGACATGCACGACCGTAAGAGGGACAATGCAACTAGGACAATAAGGAGCAGGGCGGCGCTCCATCAAGTGACCATGGGTTAAGCGAGTATGGCCAATACGCAACCTCGCCAGAGCCGTTTCCCACCGCCGGTTACGGTGGAAGGAGGACGGCCACGAGGAAACACAACATTTAAGAGTACGTAGCTTGTTACCAGTAACAGACAACCAAGAAGCTTGCCAACGGGTAAGGACTGAGGAATGGATAATCGGGTAAAAGTCAGAATACGGAATGCCTTTACGAGAGATGGGACAAGAGCGGACAGCTTCCTTGGCGGCAGCATCCGCACGCTCATTTAAAGACACACCAATATGGCTGGGAACCCAACAAAACTCAACCGACTTAAATTTACTGTGAACGAGAAACAGCCAATGCTGGATCTCAACAACTACTGGATGAACCGGATTAAAGGACCCGAGAGCCATGAGGGCACTACGAGAGTCAACAACAACCACAAAGGAAGACTGACAACGAGAAAGCAGGAGACGAAGAGCATAGAGAATAGCATAAAGTTCTGCTGTAAAGATGCTAGTCTCCGGAGGCAAGCGACACATATAAGTGCGATCAGGAAAAACAACAGAGTAGCCAACACCGTCCGCTGACTTAGACCCATCGGTGAAGACAGAAACGGAGCGGGAGTGAGAAGAAAAGTGCTCGAGGAAAAGGCGTTTCAGAACCGTAGGAGGGGTAAAAGCTTTAGTGATACGGGTCAAGGATGTACAAAACCGCGGAAGAGGGACCCTCCACGGGGGCAAAGAAGGAACAACACGAGGAAAAACATCAGAAATACGAACGGAAAGAGAATCCTGTAGGCGAGATAACCGGACAGAAAGAGGGAGGTGGTGAATGTTACGTACTCCTAGCAGAATACGTATATAAATTTGAAATAGCATTTTTGTTTCCATTATATCATTGCCTGTATATGTACACACATGGTGTTTTGTAAATTGTCGTATGGTGTGGCAGCGTTAGTGGAGACAGGAGCGGGGTTGCGTTGCACACGTCTAGTACCTGTTCAATACGGGAAAGCTGGACCTGTTCAGTTTGAGAGTTCCAGATGTCACTTTTATTTAGTTTAGGTAATTGTTTATTTTCTGTAATTAAACAGGTGGCATTATACTTATATATTTTGTAAGTAACTATTATCTGTAATTTGCATTCTTGTGTGTTTTGAGAACAAGTGGTTGTTCAATTAGTTTTAAATATTAAAAAGTCCTTAGTTTCCATCCCTCATCCTGGGATGAGGCAGACGGGAGGTGAGAATGTGGGTAGCGCCAGAGCGAGAGTTCAGTAGCTTCGGGGAACCAGGAGGAGTAACATGTGGGAGATAAGTCTGTTACTTCTTGTTGTGCCATAGTTATTATATTATATTAAGAGTAATGACAATACTTTCGTTTGTTGTATAAGTTACTTTACCATCTGTGTTTTTATATTATACTGTCTTGAATATATATCTATATAATATTTTGTATCTATTCTTCAGTCCTAAAGGAAGAGTTTTATTTATGTGCTCATTACTTATCAAGGGGTTATACTGGTGACGCGCTTTAGAGAGCAGCAGTGGTATCCCTAGACGTAATTAAAGCTTGGCTGCTGTAGGGTCACGAGCCGTAACGAACGATAGGTAACAGTGAAGAGGAACAGGAACCGCAGGAGGGGTAAAAGTTAAAGCACGACAGAGGCGAGAGGAAGGATGTTGCAAGGACCGCGCAAGATAGCGAAGACAGTAGCGATCACGACGGTCCTGGAGAGACAGGAAGCCAGTGTCAACATACAAGC